CCGCCTTGGCACCCAACATGGCGGCGCCGTGGACGACGGCAGCGTTGACGTAGCGGGGCACCAGAACGGGCATGTCGCAGATGGTGGCCATCAGGTCCATGAGCAGCGGGTTTTGGCACTGGCTGCCGGACATGAAGATGGTGTTGAGGACGTGACCGGCGTTGTTCATCGACTCGACGATCTGGCGCGTCTGCATGGCAATGAACTCCATCGTCGCGTAGTACCATAGCGCGAGGTTATCTGTTGTCTTGTCGCTGCTCAGGCCAATGACGGCACCCTTCATGTTGGGGTCGGCGACGGGTGATCGGTTGCCCCAGAGGTCGCCATAGAAGAAGAAGTGGCGGCCCAAGTAGGAGATGGAAGGAGCGTTCGCCTTCTCTCGCATGTACTCCAGATGAGCATTCAGGAAGTCGTAAATGTTCTTCGACTCGGCGGTGGCAAGCGCCTGGGTCTCGACGTATGCGGGATGGATATCGAGAATGTGACGAAGGAGCTCACCGGTGGCGGACTGACCACCTTCAGCCATCCAGAACTCGGGCAGAAGCACATCGCGGTAGGGACCCCAAACGCCGGGCACGAACACAGCTTCTCGGGACATGGCCAAGTGGCACGTGGATGTTCCGGCAACCGCCGCCAACCTATGGAAAGCCTGGGACAGGTCATTCTTGGGCGCCTCCTCATCGAGATGATCAGGAGGGAGCTCAACCTTGGCTCCGACGGTGCCGATCCATCCAGCGTAGGCGTCAATGACACCACCACCGACGGCGATGCCCTCGGGAAGTCCCAGCTCCCGGGCAGCCTTCTTGCTGAGAGTTCCGACGAGCTCGCCGGCACTCTGGTACTTTCCGTTCTGCGATTCTTGTTAGCCAAATGTCCTCGATTCACGGGAACCGGCGCTCACCACCCCGTTGACGCCGCCCATGCGCTTGAAGTTATCGTTGCACAGGTCTTCCAGACCGATTGTCGTAAGGAAATCCTCCTGCCAACCCTTGACGCTGCCGTCGACACCAACAGGGACGTAGCCCTGCTTGCAAACGGTGCTGCAGAAGCTCCGCGTCTCGTTGCCGGTGGCCATGTGCGTGAGGGCATCCGCGAGGTCGTAGAACTTGCAGCGGTCGAAGAGCTCCTTGGGCATGTGATTCTTGAGCCAGAGCACCTTGGGGATCTCCATCTCGATGCTCATGGTGCCGCCGACGTACTTGAGCAGGTTGTGGCCAGTGGCGTTGATCTTCTCCGTCTCCTCAACGGGACGGTGGTCCAGCCAAAGGATGACGTTGCGGTCATTGCCATCGGCGTTATCGAAGTCGGGGCCTGTGACAGGGACGGGAACATCGGTGTCGTCTCTGAAGACGGCGAGGGAGCAGGTAGCATCGAAGCCGATTCCCTTGATTTTGGCAGGGTCAACAGAGGAGTCGATGAGGACCTGCTTGACGCAGAGGCAAATGCATGCCCAGATGTCTGTGGTCGATTGTTCCTGCCGATAGTCAGCTTACTTTGTTTCGGTGGCGGAGGCTGTCGTAAAGCTAGAGAATACAACGGGAGGATCGGGAGACTCACGTAGAATCCGGTCTCTGGCTGCCAGAGCTTGATGGGCTCGGTGGCCAGGGCCTTGATATCGCCGGTCTCATCAATGATGCAAGCTCTGGCGGAGCCAGTGCCCACATCAATTCCGATGTAATGATCCTATCGATTGCTTCAGTCAGTGGCCCGCGCTCGTGTCGAGGGTGAGATAAGCCGGTGAGCTCTCGGTTGGCAACTCACGAGAAGTTGGGGAGGCCTGGAAGGAGGATTGTTAGCCATCTTGAGGCTCTTTTGTTAAGCCAATGTGAAGCCAAAGGATCAGGATACTGTTGTGAGCGCGATCAATAGCTTCACAAAGGGAGAAGAAAACACCATAGAGATAAAACTTACTCCATCTGTGGCAGATATTCACCCATTCACGCGGTATTGTATGACGTAGTGCAAAGTTGGGAAAGTGAGACTTTGGGGTCTCGTTTGTTTTTGTCGACTGGTGAAAGATTTTAGCACGAGTGGGAAGGCAGTAGAAGTTTTGGGTCCTCCAGATCCATTAATCAATGGCACCCAGAGGAAAAAAAAAAAGAGGAGTGAAGAGGAGCTTTCTTAAGAAGGGAGCTGGACCTCAACACGAGCTGGAGGGGCGGCTGGAGACAAGACAGACAAACACACACACCCACACCACGACCGTCAACGTCTGGACCACCACCTTCAACACTTCTACGACGGGGATTGAGCTTGGTGCTCGCGCCGCCTGCCCAGGACCTGGACCCCTTTTGCCCCTCCGTTGGGTGGGGTAAGTAAGGTACAAGAGCTACCCTGCGCATTTGTAGGCCATCGCTTGTACACGATGCGGAAGTGTGAGAGGGCCAAGCTAGAATCCAGCAGACTGGCAGAAAACAGAGAATCAAAGTAGCCAAACCGCAAAAATGATGGCAAGCTCGGGATGGATCCGCGGCCTGTGTCAGCTGCAATTCCAAGCGCTATCGGGGGCCGGCCAGGCTCACCCTCGTACCGGGGGCAACACCGATGGGATGGAGGGGTGTGGAGGGGGCATCCACTTCGATATGCGGGCACCCACCCAGCCCGCAGCACCGACCACAAGCCGCGCCGCAAGGGACCTTCGGGGAACCTGAACCTGACCTCCACTGAATTTGGGGTGTGTCCAGCCGCCTGTTGGGAGCCAAGCAACCAAGGAGCCCAGTCCATCGCCAGCTCTGCCTTTCGAATCGAATCTGCTGGTCGCTGGACTGCAGCAAGGGGGGTTACACCGTGGGATTTCCGGGGCTCGGGGAAGCTGCCACGACGTCTGGGAAGGTCCCTGAATGGCCAGGCCCCCAACCTAATGCTCCAGAACTGGTATGCTCCGGGAGAGCTCATCCATCATCGCCTTTTCTCTCCCCAGTCGCTCTGGTCTCGCCCCAAGTGCCTACCTAGGTTCCTACACCAAGTCCAGAACAGAGCTCTTTGGGTAACTGGAGGCAAAGTCGAAGGCCATGGAAAGGAAGCATAACCCCGCCAAATGACAGCATTCCCCACATGCTTCCAGAAGGGGTCGCGATACCATCCATGAACAGGCGGGCTACTTTAATTTTAGCAAGACCTGGAGAAACACTTGGCTAGGTGGTGACGGCCCTGACGGGAGTTGTGTGTCAACCCAATGCTCGCTCGCTCAGAAACGAACTTGGGAGCTCCCTCCACAATTATGATGTTGCTTTTGTTTGAATTTCAATGTTATTTCGTCCCGTCTCCGTCACCGCCACCACACCCGTTGGGCCCCAATGCTACCTAGCATCTACACCACTGACTACCTTACATCATAAGTACGCTGTCCATGTAACAGCTATTCAGCATTTTGACATCCGAATCAGACTAATACAACTCAATGGGTTTCAACGTAGAACACCGTGCTTGTAGGAGTCTTTTGTGGTCTAATCAAACAAGGCAATGGCTCACTAGATAGCAAAGCAAATTCTTCTATCAATAGACGGTCAGACAGCAGTACTTACTTCCATACGGAGATCTGCATACGCCAGCCAGAAAACAATGAGGCACCAAGCCCCGAAAGAAGCAAAAAGAAGGCGAGACACAAAAGAGACAAGGGCGCCACGTCGGGAAGCCCAAAAAGGATGGTCCGGCTGCCATCCGCCGCCTCCCGTCCCAAGCCACCAGTGTCTTCGACCTTGCCAGTGTGCTCCTGGACTGCCACCGACGTCGTCGTGGGGTGCTGAGTCCTGCACTATCCCCATACTATTTCCTTCTCCGTCCTTTCCGCCTCCATGCGACCCAATCGTGGCCCAACGCCTGTGTCTCTCTCTCGCGCTCCTCCTCCAAGTTCACACCAATCTACGAGTGCCTCTTGTGGCCGATCTAAACGGAGGTCGGAAACATTGCCAGGAACCAGCCGCAAGAGAGCATCGCAGCAGGCCGCGTTCCAGCCCGCTCCGGCAACATTTCCATGCACCTGCACCATATCGGAGTCGCCCACGCACTGCAATACAATGAAAAAGGGTTGACATGCAAGGATTCCTACAGATGCGCGCTGCGTTCCCTTGCAACCCTCCTCCCAACTAGCGCAGAGTCAAGACTGTGGGGAGTGGGACGTGGGATGCGATGCAACGGCAAAATCCATGATCACAAGAGCTCATGTGGAGAAGCGTCGAGAAACTTCATGGGGCGCGGCTGCATTTTGCATGGCTTCGAGATGCCAATAGAAGAGGTTGCCTGTCATCGCCATCACGGTTTCCACGGAATCTTGCATGGTTTCGGCATTTCATTATTAAAGCCAAGGTGATATCTGACCCCCCCCCCCCCCCCCCCGAGAAGCACGATAAACACGAATTGTCACGATACGTGAAAAAAGTGTCTGCCCGCCATGTGAGCATCAAACCCCTGATGCCAGCTGCGCTGTCACCCGTCTGGATTTGCGGTGTGTCTTGGTTGCTTTCTCAGCCCTCGTCTCTCGCCCCTTGCGCATCGTCTATAAACATTATCTCCGCTCATGCAGCCATAGCCTAGCCTTGCCGAGCATGTAGGTTGACCGCGATACCAAGGAGCTCGTCCGCCGATCCCCTGCCCGGCAACTCCGACGAACGGAGGAGCTTCGAGAATCACCACCACGAATGCGTCTTCCCACCTGGCGCCCGCACCTCTGCTGTTCCGTATGTGCCGATCCCCCCACGATCGACTCTCATCTCTTCCAACCGGGCCTTAGTCCATGGAACCCGTTTTTTTTCTTATTCTCTATCGTCGGGTGCGTTGGCGTTTTTACTTGTGTGACAAGTGTTTCGATTCGCCCACACCGCCTTCCAATCAATTGTTTCGTAAATGTCAACGACTCGCTTGGCAACGCGTAATGCCCCCAGAAAGTGTGCCTCGTGTGTTCAAGATGCAGATATGGTGTCTTCTAGACCTCCCCTGGATGATCTGACGCCGTCCCACGAGGCCCTGTCAATATGCCGCTTCCCACTGGTTCGATGCAATCGCTAGTAATCGAGCTCTGTTTCCCATTTCCTGTTCTCCGCCTTCACTCTTCCTCGATGAGATTTGTGGTCACCCTGTTATGGATGTCAGCGAATGTTGGCCGATGAACCTTCTTGGTTGTGCACTGCTTACCTCCGCCTTCCGCTTGCGGTGCACCGGCTCGGGGGTACTCCTCGAGTATGTCGGGGTGCTCCCCCGGGCTTGTGTTGCCTCCGCGTGGCAGCTGTAATGGTATGCCCGGTTGCCGACTAGAATTGTATCCAGCCAAACCCATTCCTGCGCCGTATCCAGCCACTTGTTCTCGAACTTTTCTTGACATATAGGGCAGACACTGTTGACTCTGCTTGACGCATCTGGCACAGGGATGTACTTGGGCTTGGCTTCCTTCTTCTCCTTGCCGGGGCTAGACGAGGCATCGCCCGTAGATGGCGGGTGGTCGACATCGACTGCCTCTCGTGACTTGAGCCAGTCCTGTGAAATATTAGATACTGCCACACCTCAAACCAGACAAGAGACTTACGTTATTGTCGACATACCAGCTGCGATGCTGGCCTCGCTTCTCTGCTTCTGCAAGCCGTTGGTGAGCTTTGAAGTGCCAATCCATGTGCGCCATCTTCTTCTTTCTGCCCTCCTCATCTGTCTTGAATCGTCTGCCGCATTGCGTGCATTGCGGCCCTAATTGCTCGTAGATTGACGCAATCAAATGCGGCTGGTATCTACAGAAGCGTGAGTACAGTGACATCCATAGTCACGGGAAAAACTTACTGCTGTTTGAGCGCTGTGGCATCTAGCTGGTTAGCGTTCATATTCGGCATGGGAGGTCGCGGCATGCCAGCTAGCAAGCTGGCAATGTTCGGAGGCAACAAGCCGGGCGGCAGCATAGGCATTCCCGGAGGGGGAACTGGCGCGGGAGCCGGCGGTGCTGGTGTTGGCGTAGTGCTTGGCGCACCTCCAGACAGCAATCCCGCTTGCCGCAATCCTGCAAGCAAGGCCATAGGGTCCGCAGCGGGCGGAACGCTACTCTGCCGTTGAGGCTCGGCTCTTTGTGGTGGAGGAGATCGGATCGCCATGTTCGGGAACGGCGGAGGCGGCGTTGGTGTTGGTGCTTGTGGTGTAGCTGACTGACGGGTCAACAGAGCAGCAAGAGCCCCTTGGCCGAAGAGAGCGTCAAGTGTCACGCCTCCTGACTGCTGAGGAGGTCCGGACGGCGGTACTACAGGTGCCGCAGCAGCGGGCGGTGGATGATGGGGGACAGGCGTAGCAGCAGGGGCATGACCCTGGGCCGCGAACGGCCTCACTTTTACAGCAAGATCGGCTACTTGATTCTTTATAAGGACCAATTGGTCCTGAGGCAAGTTCTGGTGCTGGAGCAAGTTCTGCACATCCAACAATGCCTTAAGTCTTTGATGAACACTATGATCATGTGGGTTCTGCGCAAACTCCAACTTCGACGCATCGATCAACTTCTGGATATCTTGACCCAGAGAATCTTTGCTTATCACACCAGTCTGAGCACCCGCAAGCCCAGCGTGTGGCATTTGTGGAGGGGGCTGGTAGGGACCAGGGGCCGCTGAAGGCGGCTGAGCACTGTACGATGCTGGCGGGGGCTGTAGGTGAAGTTAGCATGAGTGACGGATACCCAACGAACGGATTGACGTACTGCATATGGCGCCATTTGCGGATGATGTGGGAGCGGAGCACTTGGAGGTCGGTTTCCGTTCGGCTGTTGCATAGGAGGCGGCTGGCCGTAGGGTCCTTGGTGATTTGATCCAGGTCGCACACCTGGAGGCGTGGGCGTCTCGCGATACGGCGCACCCGGTCGTCCACGGCCGCGGCCTTGTTGAGCTTGAAGAGCCGACGTCCGGGCTTTCATGAGTGCGCTCTCGATGGGCTGAGTGACTTCCGGAGCAAAGACTGGACGCTTGTCCAGAGATCCCGGGACAGGTTCTTTCCATGTGCGCAACATCTCATCCATCTTGCGGCGTACTTGGCCGTCGACTGCGGCATACGCTTCCATGAATGTTTGGTATAGCTTGGCTCCGAAGAAAAGGGTGTACGGAGTTCCGACATTTTTGACGATCGAATCGAGGACGTAAAGGGCTGGCAGCTTCTTGTGTGCAGGGGCCTGGGGAATATGTCAGATGTTGAATAGCGATGCAGATGGACGGTGGCTCGTCAATCGTGAGCAAGGGAGGCTCAACCTACCTTCAAGATGTGGTCCTGCAGCACTTCAGAGATGACCTGTGCATGTTCGGTCTGTTCTCTTGCAATCATCGTAAGATTGCTAATTTCGAAGCGCACGTTGGTAGTCAGGTCCTCAAGAGCCTGGCGGTAATCTTCCGCCACTTCGGCGGCGGAGGATTCGTATGACATTGTTGTGAAAGTCCCCTTGGGTTGCGAGATTTGATATTGTTTTTGATCTGTCAAGAGCACGCGAGCAAAAGCGAGCAGAAATTGCAGAAAAGCGAAGGGGCGACAGGAAACACCTCAAGTCCTTGTCGGCCCTTCACCGTGAGCACTGGAAAGCACGAGTGAACCACCGTTATTTGAGAAGCACAGCACTGTCGTTCTGATGGGAAAAAGACGACGCTGGTAACCTAAACTGGGAGGGCCGAAGTGCAGTTTCCAACTCTTGTGTCCAGGCTTCCTCCTGCTCAATCCCCCACACCAAGCCAACCAGATCCAAGCAGATGGCGCGGTAACCTCTACAACATCATCCGACGGGAGTTATCGCATCCACTTGAAGTATGCAATGGTGTCTCTGTGTGATGTATGTGGACGTAGGGGAGTGTCGCGACGACGGCGCGGAGCGGGTGGCTTTGGCAGTTGGGCGATCACGAGGGTATCGCTGTGGCGATACTCTGTCAGGAAGTCAATCAATATGAAGGCGTTTTCGATGAATGTTCGCGTCGTCAGCGATCAAGGTCGTCTTTGCAAGGTGTTGTTGAAGGAAAGTTGAGAGACTAGGTGGGACCTCGGACGTGATTGACGTGCTAAATGAGGCGTCAGAGTGCAACAATGCCAGCCAAAAACCTAAGGTACCTGCCTAAGCCCATCCTACCGAGCTCACGTGTTTTGGCAGTGCACGGTCCAGGAGCTGTGGCTGGAAGCAGGAACCGGGAGTCCCAGTTTTGGATTGGATGACAACCAACGAGTCAAACTGCGCTTCAAGGTAGTTGCTATCTCTTATCTAATCGCTGGAATCAAGTCTCTCCTGGATGCAATAGCCCGGTACATATAGCATAGCTACTTTCAGGCTCTTGATGGCAATGCCACTCAAATGCAGGAATGCTTAGGATGCGTATTTAAGGACAGAAACATTACAACTCTGACTTTTTGGCGCCTGCTCCATGGGAAGGGTTTCTACCTGATTGTTTTGGCTGATTGCACTTCGAGAAAGGTGCTTTATCTTGGTCGCCTTAGGTAAGCAGGCGTCCCATCCCACCTACCTACCTAAGGTACCTGCTGTACCTACCGTCTGAGCGGCGGTGCATCCTTTTACCGGGTGCTCGGTCCAGCGTTCCCTTTGCAGGACACAGGACAGCTGTCTCGCTTCGGTTGAAGCTTTGTTCCGAGCGAAAAACAGCCAGTCGGGGCCGGGAATTCCCGCGGACCAGCAGACACACCTCTGGTTTTCTGCATTGCTGTGATAGCGCTTTTCCCGTGAAGCCCCCGATTGCATCACATTACATCCGCCTTGGACTTTTTGGTCCTTGTCTTCCTTTTTTGGCCCTTTCGTCACTGAAAGCGCCTTTTCCATTCTCCCACTTGGACCCTCTCCCCTCTACGGTTTCGATTTCCTCGAAAAGGTCCCCTCTCCTTTTTCCTCACCCCTCGTCGCGACACGCTTCAATACACATCTTCGACAATGTTCAAGCTCGGACGTAGCCGTTTGGCTTCCGCCATCCCTTCGAGGCTCGCTGCCCCGGCCGCCAGATTCCCCGGTGTTGCTCAGCAACAAAGGAGAAACCTGAGCATCCACGAGTACCTCTCCGCCGACCTCCTGCGCCAGGTAAAACGTCCCGCGATTGCGCCCCACTCTCCTCAAGCCAGGTTTTCAGGAGCTCCCTATCAACTAACATCTGTCGCATTCTCGATAGTATGGAGTCGGTGTTCCCAAGGGCTCCAATGCGAAGACCGCCGCCGAGGCCAAGGCCATTGCGAAGGAGATTGGTGGTGAGGACATGGTTATCAAGGCCCAGGTTCTCGCTGGTGGACGTGGAAAGGGTACTTTCGACAACGGCCTGAAGGGCGGTGTTCGCGTCATCTACTCGGCTCACGAGGCCGAGATGTTCGCTGAGCAGATGATCGGCCACAAGCTCATCACCAAGCAGACCGGCGCTGGCGGCCGCCTCTGCAGCTCCGTCTACATCTGCGAGCGCAAGTTCGCCCGTCGGGAGTTCTACCTCGCCATCCTGATGGACCGCGCCACCCAGGCCCCCGTTATCGTTTCCTCCTCCCAGGGCGGTATGGATATCGAGACTGTCGCCAAGGAGAACCCTGAGGCCATCATCACCACCAACATCGACATCAACAAGGGTGTCACCGATGAGATTGCCCGCGACATCGCCGTTAAGCTCGGTTTCTCCGAGCAGTGCATCGAGGATGCCAAGGACACCATCCAGAAGCTCTACAAGATCTTCGTCGAGAAGGACGCTACCCAGATCGAGATCAACCCCCTCTCCGAGACCTCTGACCACAAGGTTCTGTGCATGGACGCCAAGTTCGGCTTCGACGACAACGCCGACTACCGCCAGAAGGAGATCTTCACGTGGCGCGACACCACCCAGGAGGACGCCGACGAGGTCCGCGCCGCCCAGTCCGGCCTGAACTTCATCAAGCTCGACGGTGACATCGGCTGCCTGGTCAACGGTGCCGGCCTGGCCATGGCCACCATGGACATCATCAAGCTCAACAAGGGCGCCCCGGCCAACTTCCTCGACGTTGGTGGTGGTGCCACCCCCGCTGCCATCAAGGAGGCTTTCGAGCTCATCACCAGCGACCCCAAGGTCACTGCCATCTTCGTCAACATCTTCGGTGGTATCGTCCGCTGCGACCTGATCGCCCACGGTCTCATCAACACCGTTAAGGAGCTTAACCTCAAGATCCCCATCATTGCCCGTCTGCAGGGCACCAACATGGAGGCCGCCCACGAGATCATCAACAACTCCGGCATGAAGATCTTCTCCATCGACGACCTCCAGACTGCCGCCGAGAAGGCCGTACAGCTGTCCAAGGTTGTGAAGATGGGTAAGCTGTTCCAGCCTCCATGATGTGTCTGAAATGAACTGTGCTAACTGGGACTTTCAGCTCGTGATATTGACGTCGGCGTCGAGTTCACCCTTGGTATCTAACTCTAGCGTTGTGTTTAGACTGGCCTCGCCCTGTACATTAATTAACATAGCCCTAGGTTGATGGCGCTAGCACTGGGAGCCAAATTCAAACTGTGTTCAATGTCATTTCGAAGTCTTTCGTTGTTCAGTGTGATGGTGACCCTTCTTATTTCCGCTGTGCTGCGCATGTAGTCCTGTCCACGGATAGATTGACTAGCCCAAAATTGTGCCCCATTCTGAATGTGAAACATGTAATTCAACATACCAACAGTTTCTACAAAGGGCGAAGTTCCTCTTACTAATTTGGTGAACTAGATCATGGTCAGTCGTCATGAAGGCGACCTGTAAGCAACTGGGACAAGTGACGGTGAGGAACCCTCGGGATGAAAATAAGCAGCTCATCATACATGTGTCTCATTTCAAGACAGGCACGTCAAAGTATGATTCAACTTCTGACCTTTTTGGCGCCACATGGTCGCGGCAATGGCCCAGGAGGCAGTGCTGGCGCTTCTACGCAGTGTTCGTGATAAGCGAAGAGGGAGCGCGGCTGGCCGTGTGAATGGCCTAGAATTGCTTGTGTTAAGAAAAAGAAAATGGAAGCGCGGAAGACGGCAGCATACAAGATATGAGGTGGAGTTTGACAGCTAAATTTGGGCAAGGCGAAATGAGGTGCAACGCGAGCGGGCGCTTATTAGGCGACTTCGGTGGGCCATATGCAGAAAGTATCTGGACTCGGAGCCGACTTCATCTGGAATTCTGGATGCATTTGATGGCGCTTGAGGCACGGTCAATTTGTCATTCTTCTTCCGTCGAGGTCATGCCCAATCCTGCGGTTTCATGCTCAGGTTTCATGCGATGAAGGTGCGTCGTGATCATTGCGCAGGCCGTGAGGCATCGTATGTGTGACGAGCTAGAGTCGGGAGCTTGGGCCGACCACTCAGCTTTCCAAGAAGAAGAACGGAACCGAAATCATGAAGGAATCGAGAGTATTCGATTGGCATTCGAGTGATTGACATCATCGCGGTGATGCCTCGGCTTACTGCAGTGCCTGGGGCAAGCCGCCAGACTCATGAAGCAATAATGACTGAGGTGTAGACGAAATATATTCAGCACAGGGCTACCTTCAGCCACACATACTTTGCTCTCATGACCAAATGATTGATTGTGAATCGAGCAACCATCCGAATATGTCTGCATACACAAACCTCGTGAGGCGGATGCTCCATGTAAGCCATCATCAGCTTGGTGGAGTGGCTTAGAGGCTGTCGGTATTGTAGTGGGGATTCCGTATCGTATCGCACGGAGGTGGTTGCCAACCGGTGCTGTGAGGGTCCATCGCACTCGGGACAGCCAACACAATAGCGTCTGTTCTCAGTTGGCTCAGCTGCAGCACGGCAGGGGCTGCTTTGCCGCTCAAACTTCAATGCCCTCTCAACTGGCAGCCTATCGGCAGTTCTGGCGCCTGCAGGGGTCGCCCAGCGGGTCTTTGTGCCTGACATTCGGCCGGCGGCTGTCTCTGCTAAACTCGCATGAAACAAAGTCTGGTCGCCCGTCATCCAATCAATCCGTCTTCGACGCCAACAACTGAGAACATACCATGTTCCTTCAACCCATTGCCATGCACTAGTTCTATCTGTTTGCAACTTCTCAACTGCAGCCCACCCCTATTCACGTTACTTCTGCTATCTCTGTATCCATGTCTACACCGTTGGCCTCGCTCCCAGGCCCTGTCTTTTTGCATCCCTCTGGCCTGGTCTATCGCCTCATCCCACCTCGAAGCGCCCCTTCATATGTTCGCTTGCTATTCTTTACGGGCCCCGCCAGCCGTCTGTGACTGGTCCATGATGGCAACGATGGTGGCCAGTGACTTTCAGTGCACGATTGGATGAAAGCGGCCCACGCCACTCATGCCACACCCATGGTCTCTGCTTCCCGGGGCCCTGCTTCGTCTCGTCTTCGCTATTGATCAGCCCGGGGGATCTTCAACAAAGCTGAACGTTCACAGGCCATCAGCAGCTCCGGCTCGAGTATGGGCTCACGCACATGCTGCAGGTCCCCGCTGCCCGACCCGTAAGATGGAAAGCAGAGGCCCGGACGAAAGACACCCGCCTAGACGCCTTGGACTTGTGGTTCAGCTGGTGCTGCGAGTGCTCGACCAGGGGACCTCATTGAAACCACGTCTGCTCGCAGGAGCACGGCAACGTCTGGAACCTCAACCGCAGGTACAGCAAAGCAAGGCATCTCCTCACGTTGCCGCCACCTCCACCGCTCTAGTGCCCGTCCACATGCCCACAAGCGTGGTGTTCCCATCCCATAATCCTGGTCGTGCTTCGTGCCGCTGCTGGGATGCGAGAGAGAAAGAGAGAGAGAAAGTAGAGATGGAGGAGGAAATGCTAGATCGTCTAAGCCGTTCGTGAGAGAACCCTTGGAGGTCTCCTCATCCCTCCTCATCGACCATCCCCCACCGACCCATCCCGGCCCTGAGGGTCCCTTCGCGCTGCTGAATCGATTGGTTGATGGCTGCGCGAAACTTTTTCCTGCATTTCGAAACGGCGAATAGGGAGGGTCACCGGGCAGGCACCCTCGGTCAAACCATACCTACCCTACCTGACTTGACTTTGCTCTTGTGTTCCCGTTCAAATAAGAAATTCCTAGTGACGCGCAGGAGGAACAATACACTGTTTCTGCTCTGCATTATTTTTTTCTTATGCTGTCACCCAATCTTTCCCAGAGCTTAACAAAAAAGAGGCCAGACACTCGGAGCAACAAGTCCTTGTCCGTATTAAAGGAAGGAACTCCCCGTTCCTCCTTCCTTTGACATCGACATCACCCACCGGTCCTTTGGCAGGCGCTTCCTCACCCCTCCTTCCCCATTGAACAGCTGTGGACAATCCTGTTCTTGGGTCTCAACTAATCCTGTTCACGTTCAGTCTTTCCTCTCTTCTACCCACAACTCTGTGTGAAGCTCTCCGTTGCACCACACCACTCTCCCTATATCAACGCACCTTCTGGACTGGTTTCCAGAAAAATTGTCCATCAGCCTCATAATCATCTCACATTCTCTCGACAATCTTGCGACAGATCACTAGTCACAATATTTTGGATTGCTCAGTCTGATTGACTCGACTGTTTTGCTACGCCACGGCTCTCGTCACCCACAAACTCACAAACAGCTATCGACAGCCAGGCATCGGCCTCTCGTACGTATATATACACACACCATCGCGGTCTCGACACACCACTAACCATGCCAGTCAACATTTGCGACGTCCCGATCGTCAAAAAGACCGTTAGGATGTTCAACATCGCCGAGAACCAACGCCTCGCCGGCTCGAGCCATGTGGTTCTGAACGTTTTCCGCGCCTTCAACATTATCGGCCTGTCGGCTGTCTGCGCCTCGAGCTGGGTCATGATTGTCATGTCCATCCTCAAGGGCAACTTTGCCTTTTTCGACTCTGTCTCTCACTTCTTCACCTTCTGCATCGCAGTTTTCCTCATCGTCTCCGAGCTCCCCGTCTTCGAGGGGTACTTTCAGCGTAACTGGCCGGTCCTCTCACTCAACCATGGTCTCAGCTGGCTGGGTATTGCCATGATTGTCATGGGTTGCCAGGTCCTCGCTAACACCTCCGAACCCGCCTTCTCTGTTGAAACACTTGGCCTTCCGCTTTGGCGTCTTATTCTTGCCTCGGGCATCCTGGCTATTACCTTTGGCTTCTTCAACATCATCTCCGCCATCATCTTCCGCGATGGTGACCTCAACTCCCGCAACTTCCGCGCCGACGGCTCTCTCGCTTCGGCCAAGAGCGTTGACGGGTACTCGTTCCGCAGCAACTCCGTCCGCGAGGAGAAGCCATCCAAGTTCAAGCGCCTGACACAAATGACTCCCTGGGGCAGAAACGACAACGGCCGGCCTGAGATCAGCCATCCGATTCCGGACATGGAGCGTGGATACACACCTCAACAGCCGCACGACTACGATGAGGACCGCCGCAGCCCCATCATTCCCAACATCGAGCGGCCGCTGACCACGCTGCATCCCGCTCACCGGGCCCGAGCCACCAATTACAGCGTCGCTTCAATGAGCCAGTTCTAGGGGCACTACGTACGGAGTCGTCAGTAAAGAAGAGTTAGATGGGCAAATGAATTGGCCTGAAAAGCATTGGTCACTAGGGAGTCGGCGTCGCGAGTCTTTTTCTTTTGTCACTGGAAAACAAAATACCCGGGTATGGAAGGTCTTTAGCGAGGGATATGAGATTTAGGGATCTTTCTTCATGAGCGCCATCGGTAACCACCCTATTACAAGATGACAGATAATCTGGGAAGATAGAACCAGTAATTACAGTTTGATATACAGGAGATCAAAACTTTGCAGTTGCATGCTATGGTAGTAGACGTGTATCTGCATTGCCAGTCGGTATCGCGTCCGGCGACGAAATCAGTGACCCTTGTCCTGCTTCATATTTCCTTCCACTGCATGTGTAGACGCGGTGCTGGTTTCACATGAAAAGAGGAGTGAAATTCGAATCGGAGCAAGGAAATGTAGCTGAAACCGTGTGGCAGACGAGGACAAATTGCTTTGGCTCGTCAGCCCGGCCGTGATGAGGCACCTCGACTGATGAGACTCCCGTGCCGTGCACATCTTATCGGGATGTCTCCTGTCGATCACGCCTGCCGGGGGGTTGCCCGCTTGCAAAACCCCCCACCTATTGGAGCCTTGGTCGAAATTTTCACTGCTTTGTTTGGAAGAACCACTGCGACCGGGAAGGCGACTGTGAGCACATATCAAGGCCACTTAGAGCCCGTAAGCCTGACTCTAGAGGTGTATCCGACATGAAGACATTCAGGGGCACACACACGAAGCACACCACAGCCAGAGAGGACTTTACGAGGGAGAAATCGGGGAGTTGAAGTGTGTCATCACAAAAATCACATTTTGATCATTACGCCCGCCCAAAAGTTATGTAAAAGCTCTTTCAGAGAGTCTGTTTCCATTTTCGTATCGTAATTGAAATTCCCTGGTCAGACCAGAATACTCCAGCGCATGATACCAAGTGCGTCGCGCAAACGCGCGGCGGCAGTCCCGAATACCACCCAGAAACCACACCTGACGGCAGCAGGGCCCGATAGTACGCCAGCCGTCTTTTTCTTGTCGTCGTCGTTAAAGTCCCCAGTTGTAGTAGAAACAGTAGCAGCAGCAACAGCAACAGCGCCGACACCACGACGACCGCCCTTCTCAGAGCGGTGCCGCCTATGTTGACGTTGATGGTGGGCGAGCCGCTTACCGGTAGCGCCAGAGGGAGAGGGTGTTGTGGCGCTTCCAGGTCTTTCTGCGGCCGGCGCGGGTCTTGTTGTAGCGGTGGCCCTTGTTGAGGCCGCGGGACTTCTTGCCGGTGGCGGTGAGACCGCGAGCCTCGCGGTGCTTGTGGACGGGGTTGACGATCCAGTTGATGCGGGGGTCGGTGCGGATGGCCTTGTGCTGGGGGTCGACGAGGATGACCTCGTAGTACTTGTAGGTCGAGTCCTGGTTGATCCAGTAGGAGTTGAGGACACGCAGGTTAGCGCAGCGGCGGCCGACACGCTCCTCGGCGGTGGCAGCGAGGGAGCGCTGGTACTTGAGCTGGTTGACTCCCTGGTTGGTGGGCTTGCCTGTTGGTGAAGCGTCATGTTAGCGGTCTGTGACAAGACAAAAATTCTCTTCTGCCCTCATCTTCTTCACTCCCATTTCCGAACATCTCTTCCTTCCACCGGCAATCCTTTCTCCAGAGGGACAAAACGTACCGAAGGTAGCACCCTTGGCGACGGGCTTCTTGCGGCCTCCACGGCGGACGCGGACACGGTAGATAACGTAGCCCTGCTTGGCCTTGTAACCGAGGCGGCGAGCCTTGTCGGGGCGCGAGGGACGCGAGGCGCGGTGGATGACGTTCAACTGACGGAGCTATATTGATGCACTCTCAGCAAAAAGTTCAACGAGTGTATAGCAGGAACGCAAAGTTTTCCCAATCCTCTCCCGAGTCCCCGCACTCCCAGACCGACTTGTGCTTCTCAATAAGATTCTCTCACCAAATCTCATTGAGAGCAGTCGACAGGAAGATAGGTCGTCGGAGAGGAGAGCGAAAAAGTCTTTGGCGTCCACATTTTCGGATTGGGTGATTCAACGTACTTCCCAGCAGCGAACGCGCAGAAGGAAGCGCATCACATCGGACTGCTTCTTCTTCTGGAGCTCTTCGACATACTTGAGGGCACCCATTTTGACTGCAACAGCGAGACAAGAGGTTAGCCGCTCTGTTTGATTGAGGAAATAGTAGAAAGAAAGTCAAGCCGACGTCAATCAGGCTGTCGAGGGGATCGCAGGGGAACAAACCAGCTTTTCACGTAAAATCCGGCTGCCGAGGTTTTGGTGAGGGTGGTGGTTGGAGTTGAAAAAAATGGCTACGAAGAGAAAGTTCAATCGGGCAGTGAAATTTCGAAGTTCACAATGTGGGTGCTAGCCCCAAGCGAGCTGCGCTAGTCCCGAAGAGGACAGAAAGACGGGGCCATACCCCGCTCACCGACAGGGCTCGGTGAGCACCAGGGCAAAGCAGGGCTTCTCGGTGAGGCCAAGTGCCCCACCAGGCAGACGCTCGCCGCCTCTGTCGTAGTCTGTACCTTATCGTCGGACGTTGTCTCTGCTATCGTTGCCAGTAGCTGTGCTATGCTCATCATAGTCCATTCAGTGTTATCGTGCTATTCATATCCGATATGTTCAACCTTTAATCCACAAGAGCCACGGGTTCTTGAACTACCACTCTCGTCATCGACAGCACCCCTTTTTATACTGACACCAATGCAAGTTTTGCGCCCTCCCAGTTCAAAAACCACAAGCTCCAAGTCTTGGTGAACACCCCGTTGAAAGGATTGCACCAACTTCATGTCAATATTGAACCAATGCCGACGCTCTCTGCTCCATGGACATCGGTTTCACCTCCTCTGTTCGCCGTCAGATGCAGAGAACAGCAATCACCCAACCCCACTTCACCAGGCAAGCTTCTTCCAGTTTACTTCGACGATCTCGACCCTTTCTTTTTGGTGCTGCCGGGTTTCTTCACGCCGCCGGAGGAACCCAACCGCTTGGGTCGTCTTGTCCTTGGAAACTGATCAGCAAGTAGGGACAAATGTCTTGGCTTGAAAATATCACCCATCGTGGCCGGGCTTCGCATCCTCTGGCTCCGAGGGTTGGTCCTCGCTCGGCACAGTCCTTCCCTCAGGCTGGGAGACTTTCTTCGAGGCGCTGCGAGTTGGAGATTCACTTTTCTTTGCTCTAGCTCTAACAGTTCCAGCAGCCTTCTTCTCAAGACTCGGGTTCTCCGAAGAATCCTCATCAAGAACAGAGGGGTTTGACTCGGTTGTGGGAAGTTTATACTTCGATCTGCCACGTCGTGACGGTGCTCTTGATTTGATTTGTTGCCGCCCATCTATTCCAGGTCAGATATCAAGGTTACATGTATGGGGACCACGAGTAACTTGCCTGGACCTCTCCATGTGCGGTTCTTGCCGTACTTGGTCAGGCTGACTTTTCTCCTCTGATCCTGGCTCCCGTTCCTTACCGGGCTGCTCCCTGTTTTCGCTGGGCTGCTCAGGGTGTTTGTAGTAGTAGTAAGAGTGTCTTTTGTGGCAGTAGGAGTGTCTATCGTGGCAGGTGTGCTGCTCTTCTCAGGCGCCGTGGTAGCTTTGGGGGCCTTATTGTCTTTGGGGGCCATGATGGCTTCGGCGCCGGCGATGGCTTCGTCCATCGTCGCCAGCCGGCCGACACGTATATAAGGATGCGAGCACTGAGGCGAAATATGCACACAAAAGAAGAATGGTTGATTGGATATCCTAACAATGGGGATTGTTGCTTTTCGGACGCGATGTCGAATGTGGAAAACGAACATCTGTTGGCATGAGACGAGGGAAAGCTGCACCTCTCCAGCAGGCGTGGCATCTACCTACCTAGGTACCATGCCGTTAGGAAAAATAGCGGAAGGAGGTGACGACACCCATGCAAAGCAGCGCTTTCCCGATTCCATTGTATTACAGGAGTAGAAGTCGCCATCCAGTCAGGGAGGACAGCTGACCAGTCAGGGAAGCAAGTGCCTTCCTGAACATCGCTCTATGTCAGAGATACCTCTTGACCGAGGAATTAAGGACAAAGCAGCATGGGCAAGAACATCATTACAGACGATAAGTATTTCAAGGATGTAAGAACGTCCTCAAGATCAGGTACCAATTCACGTGTGGCCCCTCTCAAATGGCATGATTGATACCTGCAAATCGGCACCACCATCTCCAAGGTCTCCTGCGAACTCGTCAACTAAATTGTGTAATCCTTATATTCTCGAAACCCAATGGAAAAGCAAAATCTTTCGTACAAGAATCCCACAGAGCCATTAACCAGAAACAAGTCCCTTTTTTGATTCTCAGGTTACACCATGCTCGTGCTAAAAAGTCTCTCTGTCTATGACGGTAGTGCCCTGAGTAGTAGTGAAAGTCTCTCTCAATCTCCTCTTGAATCTCTCATCATCATGAATGGGGGAGGCCGTGGTCCCTGCATCGCGAAACGCAAGCAAACAAAACAAGAGTGAAAGTGGTGTGTAGTTCAACATGTCTTCCTTTCCTTTTTAAGCCTTCTTTTGTCTTCCCAAAGAAGCACAAAAAGGTCCCGCCGTTTTGACAATTTAAGCAGAAAATGAGAACCATTCCAACGCCAAAAGTGAGAGAAATGCCGCCGGGCCTCTCAGCCACGGCCATGCTTATAATGCCTCGGCCATGCCAACCAGATTCGGATGCGTGGGTTCGATGTGGCAGCAATGCGTGAAGAAGTGGAATGGAAGAAAAAGATTAAAACTCGGTGCGAGGATCGACGAGTCGTAGATGAATGAGGTTGCGCGTCCAATATCGATAACGTTTCAACCGGAGGAAGAACAAGTCTTATCACCGGCTGTTCAGAGACAGACCCTGGAAGGCAGCCGCCCAATCATTTTGGGAGTTCATTGGTGCACCCGTATCGTGAGGGCCAGGTCCTTCCGGGGCCGGAGCAAAACGCGTGCGCATCTGATAGTCACCCGCTCCCTGGAAGCTGTAGCTGTCAAGCGAAGGCATGACTCCAGGTACGTAGGGCATGTTTCCAGGCCGAGGGGCGCTGCTCAAACCACCACCCATGTGGGAGTACGGGTAGTTTGGCTGGCCGTAGCCAGCGCCAGGGCCGGGCCTGTCCCCTCCGAAAGGAGGCGTGAACGAGTTCTGGAATCCACGGCCGCCAGGCCCAGCCCCGTTGAACCCTACAGGCTGCTGTTCCTGCTGCTGTTGTTGCTGCTGGTTGGATCGTCTTTCTGAGTTGTTTGAACCACGACCAACGCCGACAGCGCCTGGGCCAACGCCACTTGGTGCCTGAATGCCGAGAGTCGGGCTGGCGAAGGACGCCGGGTTGATGGCCGACATCCAGATCCTGGTCTTGTAGATCTTAAACAAGTCTGTAACGAGCGAGTTGAAATTGATGTAGGAGTCGGCGAAATAGTAAAAAGTCAACTTCTTCCAGTCCCTGTGGCCGATTAGTTAGTTGTCCCAACAGAGAGAAGTACCAATCACTTACATTTGGAACTCGGCGTCGAGGATCTCCATATTGAGCCCATGCTCCTTGACCTTCTGCATACAAACACGCTTGGCCTTGGCCTCGTTGCCCTCCTTGTCCCGCAAGGCATGGATCTCGTGGCTTTGTGCAAGGCGTTTGATCAGTTTCGGCTTGAGCTCTCCCGCGTTGGGCTCTTGCATATGATGCTGGTTCGGGGGACCCATGCCGCCAACAGCACTACCTTGGAGGCCGTTCGCGGCCGCCATCAGGCCGGCGCCTGTGCCGTCCTGAGCGGCAGCGGCATTCTGCGAGTACATCATCAACCACTTGTACTGCTCCTCAGCGTAGTGCTCTTTCAGCTCCTTGGCAGTTTGCCAATCAACATTGTCTCGCGCAACGGTTCCCAAATCAGTTCCTCGATCCGCTTCGACAATCACGAGATCGCCTGGTTTCACCGTGAGACCGGTGCCCTCCTGAATGTAGAATACATCGGCTCTGGCGCACTTGAACAAGACTATGTGCAGTAATTGGTTGTGGCGCGGCTGTGACATGGCATAGACGTTACGATGAGGCGAGGGCGCTCGGTTGCCGTACTGGGTGGGGTGCATCTGAGGGTAAGGTGAGGAGAACGGGTTGCTGAACATGCTCGCTGGGGGGGCCTGGAGGCTGCCACCAGGTGTAAAATACGATGCTATATCGCTGAGTCAGTCGTGTTAAATCCAAAACGACATAGTGATGAACTCACCGGTATTGACAGGAAAGTTCGGGTTCTCACCATAAGCAGCGGAGAAATCCACGGGCTGTTGCGGTTCTGCCACGGGCGTATCGAGCCCGGTGACGGTCTCACTGATGGAGCTGATGGAGCCTTGACGCGTCGGGATATCTGCAAATGAGTGTCTCCGACTCTGCTGTCCTTCGGGCCCTCCAAATCCGAGCGAGCTATGCCAGTATGCCTTCTTAACGTTTTCCAGCTTGCGATTCTCGTATGGAGAACGGAACGCGGATACTCCAAACTCGCTCATCCTGCGACCCATGGCCCTCTTTGCTGCCAAGTCAGCTCCTTCGTTGGCCTCGTCCAGCTCGTCAATAGCATAGTCGGATTCCTCTGGCACAGTCTCTCGGAGTGAGTAGCCGTTGCCAAGCCCGTACGCGGCACCAGTTGAAGCCCTAGGCCTGAGTCGGTTCTGATATTGCTGCTGTTGCTGCTGCTGCTGTTGTTGTTGCTGTTGCCGGAGCATGGCATTCTCACGCGCAAGAAGCTCAATCGTCTTCGCTTCGGCAGATTGATGCATGGAGCCTTGCATGGACTCGCTTGCGCTCTCGTCATCATCGTCGTCCACCTCCTTGACCTTGCCAAGCAGACCTCCATCATTTGACATCTCACTCAGCATGCTGGGTCGTGAGGGACGGTGCTGCAGACCAGAGTGACCATGAGCGCGACCACGTCCAAGGATCGTCGAGCTGCTCATAGATGCGGGCGGCGCATCGGGTTCGAGCTGGCCGACAGAGTACGACTGGGAGCGGTATGTCTTCGGTGTCGGGTGCAGAGGAATCGCAAACGGGATCTGAGCGTTAGGGGCGGAGTCTCGCGGGGCGGGCGAAGTCTGTCCGTAGCTGCTCTCGCTGAAAAAAGAGCCTCCAGCTGAACCAGGAGGCATCGTCGAGGTAGGCGAGGGCAGAACCTCACTCAGGCGCGAAGGTGGATCCTTCCTGTCGTTGTTCCAAATACCAGTTCCCCAAGTGAAAGTAGATCCTGGCACCGGGGCCCGGCCCATTACGCCGGAAGACTGTGAATGAGAGCCCCAAGGCGCGTTGCCCTCCGCTGATGGGGTGCTCGGGTGGGAAGCCGTAGGAGACATGGAGCTGCTGGCGAAAGAACCCTTGCGTGGCCGAGGCAGAGGTTGTGTGGTATCGTTAAGCCAAGAGGCGCGCCTGACTGGTTTCTGGGGTTGAGACACCGGCTGAGGAAGGTCTTGACGGTGAGCGTCGGCCTCGTCGTCTGAGCTTGCCAGAGCTTCGGAATCAGGAGTCGAGCGACGGTTAAGCTTATCGAGAAGGATGGCGTGGCTACTTGGAGCGACCGCCGAGAAGGTGCCCTGGCCCGGTTTGGAAGGCGGGCCGGGTTTGGCGGGGTTAGCACTTCCTCCAGAGCTCATTGTCCTACTACTTTAGTCAAGTGAGACCCGAACCCTGAAACCAACTCAGACAACAGCTTCCTCGTCGAAAGAAATGGCAGTCGAACCACCTGCTGTGTGAATGTCAAAAGAACAATATCTTCAAACGAAAGAATGAGTTCAGTGAGATGATGAGAGAGGACCCTGTTTCGGCCGGAAGTAGTAGAACAAGGATGAAAGGCGGTCAAGGCCGAATGAGCCTAGAATTTGTGTTAGCAGCTATGTCATTAAACGTTAAAAGGCAAGCGCTGTGAGACAAGATGAAAGAGACGAGTTTCGCCGCAAGCAGCTTGGGGTGTCACGGGAGCTGCGGCTCAGCTCTCGGGGGGTCCAAGCTGGCAGCCACTGGCATAGGGCAATTGGAATGCGCCACGAGGTCCGAGCAAGAGTCATTCAGAGGCTAGAAGGCCGAGGTGACTGAATGACAAAAATTGCTGAGTCCTCGAACGAGCCTCTTTAGCTACTCGTTCAACGATGAGCTGAGCCGAGGTGGAGCTGGTGACACGCGCGAGGATAGACAAGACCGTCAAGTCAGACAGACGATGGCGCCGCGCAGCTGTTGGACCAACGAGAGCAGTGAACCCGGTCCTCGGAGGATTTATCGCCTGGCAGCAGCAGCAGCAGCAGCAGCCTTGCGACATAGGTGTGTGATTCGCACAGCAAACGATTGAAAGCAGTAACGTACCAGACAGCAGGGACTTGGGTAGATCTATCGGCGGGGTATCAAAAGGCGCAACTTCTAGATATTGAGAAACGTGGATGATGAATCAATGAGATTGAAGCGGCAACAGTGGCGCGGGGTGTTGTGTTGTGTGTCGGACGTGGGCGCAGTCGAGCTGGGAGCCTGGCCGAGGCGAGATGGAGGCAGCAGCAGCAACAGTTCTGACGATGTGGCAGTGGGCCAACGCAACTGCAGATGTAGGTGCAGGGAGCGAGAAAAAGGGCGTGTCCTAGAAGATGGTAGGCCTCTGAAGAGTGGACGGCTTGGGTTGGGCGAGATGCGACTCGA